GTTAAAGTCCAATTCCACCCCCCCCCCCCTCACTCGAGTTGGTATTCGCACATCCACATCCAAGTTGTCGGCCACTTTTTCAGAAGGAGCAACCTTCTCCATGTCTGATTTAGAGTAGGCAAGAACGACAGGATTTATTGGTACCACACCGTCGACCCCAAATCTTCCTTCCGAGTACTTGTTCGGGCACGAACAACTCGGACATTGCGTTACCTGGAGGCAGCCTATATACGACGAGTGAATCCAGATCTTTGTAAACAATTGGAGCACGTGGTTAATCTAACATTACCATGGTAGCCTCTAGCTCCATGATTCCCCCTCTCTCCTCTCATTTTTTGCTCTTTAACGTTTCCCCTTTTTTCACTTTCTTCCCCTACGGCGTTTGTGTTACTAACTTTATCGATTAACCAACTTTGCCCAAAACCCTAACCTTGCTGTTTTTGCATCGATTTTCTGCACTAATTCAAATCTGTTGTATTGTTCTCACTCGTTATCCCTCTTATGAAGCGACAGGAAGCAGCTGAAGAGCAGTCGCGAAATTTTTTGGTACCAATAAATCCTGCCGTTCTTGCCTACTTCAGCTTCGTACCGGGGACAAAATGATTTAGAGTAGTCAACCTTCAAGTCTGTAGGGCACATCACCTTCCGACAGAGCGTCTAGTCGATTCCCTTTCCGCACGGCACCAGTGAATTAACCACGGCTTACGAGTCGTCTTTCACTTACAGGATGTGACGTAGTGACTCGAAATGGTTAGTATTTGTCAGAAGATGTACGCACGGAAAAAAAGAGCAAAAGACTACATGCCTGCTTACTGCAACTTTGGCTAGTTGAATTCATTGGTTAAGAAACGTAAATATGCGCACACTAGTTGTGACTGAAGGGTCAAACTAATGACGCCAACTTGTGCTTCTCCTCTGAAATGTCCTCACCTAGATCTGTTCTAGATTGCAGGAGCAAGAACAAAGCACGGAGTCATTAGAGGTCACACGTGTGATTTCACTCTAATGCGAGGACACGCACAAATAGACCTGCTTGTGAGTGGTGGCAGCATTAAGAACCACCAATAGGATCTGCATACTCCGGTTAACGAAGTACAATAAAAGTCATTAGCACCGGCCCCCTGTGTACAAAGACGAAGGTGTTTGTCTGTTTGTTGCTGCTTTCGGACACTGTGACGGTAAACAATGCAGAGTTCAATGCTGTTGTTTATCTGCCTCCTTGTAACCGAGGTGGTGGGCTTCGGCGACGGATATGCAGACGAGTCGATAGGCGGCCTCGTCGTCGATCCGCGAGACCGAGTCGAGCGTGAACACATCAACGCCGAAATGGATGCCAACATAGTCAGCTATGGTGACACTGGACTACTTTTTACCCACTTCAAGTCGGAAGACGGCCGGATGGTCCTGAATATCTCCTGCAATAAGTCAGAGCTCGTTTTGGAGCAGAAGAAAGCCCCACAACAAGTTACGTGCAATTTGACATACGAGCTTACAGTGGCCATCGCTCTCTCCTTCGAAATTGACTACCCACCAGTGGCCCAATCAGCTCCTGCATTCTGGCTGCATCTAAAGCCTACCTCGTCCCGACTGGTGACTATTCCCCTGAACCTGACGATCCTAGGGGTGCGCATGGGTGTAGCCTACCTGAGAATATGGGCTCGTGAAGCCATGGAACAGAGTGGATCCGGTCTGTATGAGTGGCACAATTGGAACCGGTCTGACCCTCTGCTCGTAGAGGCCTACTTGTCGACGCTGGTGAACAGGAGTGAGTTTGGCAACGGTGGTTCTGTCATGGGCCTTCCGGTTAAAGTTTTGCGACCACGAGGTTCAATTGAGGTTGTATTTAGGGCAGTTGTTGCATGTCTGGTCATTGGAATTACGTTTGTCATGGGATGCGAGCTGGATCCGCGTCTGATATGGAGACATTTGAAGAGGCCCGTAGGTCCACTCATCGGTTTTTGCTGCCAATTTGGAATAATGCCCCTGGTGAGTCATCATCTGATCCAAGTACTACTGCATGACTATCCTAGTCCTTGTTGATCAAGCTGCAGTCACCCTCTGTAAGATGGGCCAGTCAGCCAATGGGTGCAAATTTGCATTTCATGCAAGCTGGTGAAAGTGCCCAGTGCCCTTATGGTATTCCGGTGTGCATCAAACGAGTAGTCAGTAAGAAGAAATGCATGAAATCCATACGGAATTTGCAAGACTTTCACGCGGCCTGCCAATAGTAATCTTTAAGCTGTGAGATAAAGCTCTCAGGAATCAGGTCACCATTCGAGCAATCGCCTAATGGGTATTTCCCGTGTGCTTCCCACATTAGAAATCGACAAGTTTCTTCAGCGAAAAGGACACCGCGGATTTAAATGTAGCAATTTGAGAAAGGAATTTTCAAAACCGCGATGATCATAGTAAATATGAAAGTAGTATGTGGATAGTAGAAGGGTATGCAGAGAAGGAGACTCCTTCAGTGCCCCTTCTCATCATACGTGTGTATTTATATCATATTGTATTTGTGATATTATTGTTATATTTATCTGTTATTATTAATAAGCAGTTACTTTTTTGACCAGGTAATTGTGCATATATGTTTGCTTATTTCCAGTCACATGATTTCGCAAACATTCATAATGCGTTCGACTCCAATTACAACACAAATAAAAACGGTGATTGCTGATCTGTGCGAAGTGGAAGGAGTGGAGATCGAGAATTGTTATACAGAGCTGGCTGTAAGTAGGTATGTTGTGAAAGACCCGCTTTCTCAGTCATTCCGGCATAATTCAACGGCAGGTAATAGGATGTCGACGAGACGCCTGTATGTCGTGCTATGGAGTGTCAATGTTGGGATTATGAGAAAACAGCTTGTCTTGCATAAAATTAACTTCTCGGCAGTGTAGGCATATCGAGAAAACGACTACACCGGAAATATTAGCTCGTGACACGCAATCGGATCCAACTACCTTGCTCACTCTAGGTGCCACAGTCTCACATTGTCTCCTTCTCCTCCTCCTCCTCCTCCTCCTCCTCCTCCTCCTTCTCCTCCTCCTCCTCCTCCTCCGATATGATTAAGTCATTTGCTTACTTATTATGTGCACGTGACCTGGCCCACCGCCTCCTCACGCGATCCACGCAACTGGGATTTGGCCGTGGTTTTGACTGCAGTGGAGCAGTCTTGGGTCGTATCTACCTCACTTCATCTCTCGTCGTCAATCGTTCATTAATGACGGAAGAAGCTCAAAACAACAGAATGAATGTACATAAGATCAGTGGCAGATAAGTCCAAAAGGTTCATCTGCGAGTGCCAGATCGGATCTGATCCATGATGCTCCACTTCGTAGGCTTCAACGAGTATATCTGTAATTGCACATAAGCCGGGGACATTAGATGGCGTCATTTGGGGGTGGTCAATGCATACGAACAGCATTTTTACTTCAGTTGGAAACACAGTGACTTAAAAACTAAGCAAATCTTCTACTGGTGCCTTACACGGCCTGGCCCTTAAAACCGAAGAATATCGGCCTTGAAGAAGGAGATGTCAAATCTAACACAACTTGGAAATATTTACCACAGTCTGACGATCGTCTGAAATGGACGACCAAGATATACCGTCAGTAGGCGTAATCCCAAACTGGGACTTTTGACATACCTGAGTATTTTTATGTCACGCGTCATTATTTGTACTGAAGAAAAGAGGGTTGCATAGCGTTCCCTCCCATTCTGACTGTTCTACTTCTTCTTCCACTCAGGATCGGCTTGGTTGAAAATGCGTTTACGAGCGGTGGCTTACCTGGAGTGACCGTCTAACGCACGGCGCATTAGGTCCCGGACCACACATAATCTAAATTTGCACTAAGGTCCAGATTAAGCACGATCGGTTGTAGCATTATCCCATTTATTGACAGTCCTCCCAACGACGACGTTTTGCGTTTTTACGTGGATTCAAGCGCATACCTCATCTTGCCTTCGCTCTCCCGTCCACCTGTGTCGTCTACATAGCTGCCAACAGTCTGAAGATGAAACCTGTCGCAGAGACTGATGCGGCGCCAATTTTAAAGTTGGGCATTTTACACGTATATGAAAAGTCAATGGTTGATCTCTCTCGTGGACTCCATGAGACTCTATAATCACATGTCATGACCTGTAGCAACCCTTATGTTGATCCAGGTCAGTTAGAGCACGTTCAGTTTACGAGCAAACTAAGTAAAATGCAATTGTTGAAATCCTCCTTTGCCCATCTTTTGGGCGCCCTTGATCCTACCTACGTAGGTACTAACTTCCATGCTGCGATCCTTTCCGCAATGCGCCAGTTGGTTCACACGGAGATCCGACTGAACGACACATGATCGGAAGCGCATAACATACCCACACGCAGGCAATCCACTTGTAATGCTCTGGGGTGATTCGGGGGATCAAACGAAAGCATAGAACTTCCCCCTTCTCGAACATAATAACTGCCAGTGGAGGACCCTCCGATCATTAATTCAGCGATACACCAACGAAAGTCTATGTATCCGAGCCTCTAGCCTCCGAGAAGCCGGCGTCTGTACGGGCGTGTGCAGCTCGTACTTCCGGGGATCACTGCGTGATGGCAGCAAGTAGGCCAGAAACGGGCATTCCACTGCCCCTTGGTTTTTCATTAAAATGTCCTCAATTACTGAATTCTGGTCGCCGCGTGCGACGGACTCTTTAGGCAGCGCACTCTCAGCTTCAAGGTGAATCCTAAACTCTCACTTTCGTCCCGCAATCAGGGTAGATGGTTTGCGTGTCATTTTTATGTGCCGTAACTTATTATGCTACAGTTGGTGGGCTTCTCCCATGCCGAGGAGGAAATATACTTTTTTAATTATGCAAACAACTTTCGCTGCTGATTGTCTAATTAGTTCGCCTTGACGATAGTTTCCCCTAGGCGTACGCAGGTGGTTTGACGTGGTAGAGGTACTAAATAAGAATACGTTGTTCATGTGACATGTTTCTGCTGGAGTTATACCATATTTTTTTACGGCGTGACGCCTCCAGCAAGTACATCCGTTAGACTCAAATGAGTATCGGATAATTAGAAGCCCAATTAGACTCTGTACCGTAGAGAATCACTAAGATTGTTTAACGCTATATTTAATCCAAGATGGAAGTCGAAAAAAACGCCCAGACGTCCATATGCACAGGTGTGAAACTGGGTAGCTGCAAACTGCAGTATTCACAACAGCTACATACACAAGGCAACATGTTTCACTTTAACTGCAATTGGCCATCCTAAAATTGCAATCGGCGACGTCGACCGTGTTTCCCACAGCATGGCTGAGGCAGGAACGATGGATTAATTTATTATGATAGTAGACTTATGCAGCGCCTACCACACTCTCCCCGCCCTCATCCATCTGACTCCGTTGCTAGGACAGAGTCATAAATCCTGTAGGCACAGTCGGGTCTAATGTCTGACAAATTTTAATAGCCCGTTTGCGCGTCCCAGTGACGCCTCATGCACGTCAGATGGACTAGGATTTCACAGAATCCCGAAATTGGCCGCCCGGATCCCATCTTAGTGAAAATGTCATAGGGGCTATATGAAGAACAAACCATCACCTCCCGACTTCCTGCCCTGGGAGGAGAGCCGAGTTAACCGGTCATTTGGCTGCCTTTTATGCCAGAGCTTCTAGCTAACAGTGAAAGTGTTTAAGTGCGTCAATGTTTTTCCTGCAAGGAATATGCGCTAATTAATATGGGGTCAGAGTCATCAGAGTCAGCCTCATCCTCTCTTCCCCTCACCGAGGCACGTGAACGTTGTCTGTAACCGTCAGTCATCTGACGACAGGATTGGCACAAGCAGCTGCCAGAGCTGAGCGGCCCGTCCGCACGTGCCGAAATTACAAAATCACCACCACAGACGCTGACTTCTGCACCCTCTGTCACAGGACAATGCGGTGGTCAGTGGTGTCAGTCTAAATTTTTCCCAATAATTTCGAATCTCTAAGGAAGTGACAGAATGCCTTTCGTGTACCGACAGACTGTCGGAGCGCAAGGGAAGTACTACCTCAGACTAAAGCAAACTTGATCGCCTTTTCTCCGCAGATCGCATTCGGGATTGCGATGGTGGTACCAATTAAACCAGAATTTGGGTTTGGACTCCTCACTACCGGCTGCTGTCCCGGTGGCGGTGGCTCCAACGTCTGGACACTCTTGCTGCACGGCGATCTTAACCTCAGTATGACAATGACATTCATCAGCAGCATTGCTGCACTGGGTATGCCTATTGTGTTTTACTGGATGTACTTCCGACTACTGCCCCAGATGAACGCGAGAAAAGAGGAAATACACAGTCTGAAGGGTTTCGCCCACGATGAATATAGTACTGTATATATTATTTAGTAATCTCATATAGTTTACTTTGCATTTACATACTACTAGTAGCACCGCTTACTTGCAGAATGGTCATTGTCCGGTTAGTTCGCAGAATCTGAATGTCTTCGACACAAATGCTCCTTACAGTTCCGCGGCTGACTATGAAGATGATGTCCTAGGGACTTCACTTGAAGTCCTTCCTTGAGTCGTTTGCGCAATTAGTTTTTCATCGCTCATGTCTGGATTTCTTTTATAGGGGACCTCTTAGAGAGCACAGGGGACCTCTTTCAGTTGCGTTATGTAGCAGCAAAGAAGACGCGTCTAGACTATCGCTTATGTTATCTGTAGGGGAAAGCTACTGCCATATATGCACATACAGTAGGTGGGCTAACTCATGAAATGCCCACCGGAATTGTTAAATGCGTTTTGGTTTCGAAAAGATTAATTAAATAGGCTTGTAAAACTAATCAGCATCTAGCATAATGCCATAATATTTCAGTTACCACAGGATGCTGTCATTCAAATGTACTTCTTTCCGGCTGCATGCAAAAACAACACTCTGTTAAAAATCACTACTTATGTGGCATGCATTTTTCTCATTGATTTTCTATATCCATAAGAACTCAACCATATTTCCTGGAAAACACGCATAAAAATGTTCATGCTCTTTCGTATTTGGCAGAAAATGACGTCTTCTTCCAATTTTGTGCTCGAAGGAAGTGTATACTTCGGTTTTAAGAAGTTTCTAATTGGAAGACCTTTTAATAACGTGAAATCGCCGTTCATGAAACGTCATGTCTCTGCATTTACCAATGTGGTTCGTAAACTTTACAACGTGGTTCAAATCCACTGCTAAATTTCATGAATTACATATGGTCTTCTCTTAATGCTGTGTAGAAATCTATCGTTTTCCGTACGCGGAAAATATATGGCTTTTAGTTTGGAAACCCTGAATGTGATTGTAACGGCACATCGGGTTCAAAGTTATTCGGAATTGGAAAGTTTTATAAACCAAATTATACCCTTCTCTCGCGTATGATATTGGAAGAAGACGTTCTCTTCTATCGAATGAATAAGGGAATGAATATTTTATGCATGTTCTCCATGAAATGTAAATGAATTTTCAAGGGCATCGAAAACCGACAAGAAAATCGCACGCCAAATGATAGCCATTTTTTGCAGAGTATGGTTTTTGCATGCAGCTGTAAAGATATTAGTGCAAAAGCCGACATCCTGAGGTAAGTGTATTATTATAGAACTATGCTGTATAATGTTTTGTTTTACAACCCTACTTAATTAATCTTTTCGAAATGAAAACGCATTTCGGAATTTTGGTTAAACTTTCATGATTTGGCCCACCAACCGTATATTCCAGTTCTTTGTGAAAGAAAGTAAACCATGTTATTGGTCATGCTTTTAGTCCTCACTTAAGTTGAGAGCATTAGTCTTGATCACTTACTAAGCGTCTGCCTGTGAGAAAATGAAGTAACACGCCCGAAAGGGCTGTCGTCTCAGGTCCCTTGTGTTTGTCGATTTGCCTCCGAAGTTACTCGCTTGGCAGTCTTTCGTCCTTTCAGATGTTTAAGGGTTAGATAGAACTGACACCATCCCTAAGACTCATTGCTTAAGGAATCTTAACTGATAGGTTTACGCCCTTCGGCGCATATCTCGACACAATTTCCGGGTTCTGCTGCTGGAGGGGCATCTTCAAGTAGGCGTGGAGATTTTCTTGAGTGAAGTGTACGCCTCCTACGCTCAACCCATAAAGAATGTTGAGAGACCCCGACTGAACGCAGATTACACTGTTTTACGACCTCGGGTTAGTGTGGCGTTAAAAGTTCTAATATCAGAAAAGTGGGCAACGGTATAGAGAAGGACCCCAATTAACTGTCAGTGGACTGTAGATCGTGTCATCTGCGGTTTTATCTTGGCATACATTTGTTGGCTTTCGCAGAAAGTACACTATCAACAACGATAACTTCCTACGACCTCATACCTTAACTTAAAATCCGCTATTTTGTGAAATTTACTTTTTTGTTTATTGTTTAATTACCGCCTTCATTACGGGCAGACAGTCGATTGTAATGTTCTCCTGGCATGAGCAGTCACCTCTTCGGGTGTTTATTAATAGTATGCTTCAATAATGACGAGCGAGTGGAAACAAAGAGGTAACTTGGACAGTGAAATAGATGAATTCTTCGTTCTCATAGATTGAGTCATGTTCCGCCAACTATAGCGAGTAAGCTGAATAGAACAAACCTTTCCTAAAATAAACATTTAGACTGTACTGTTTCACGTGAACACGGCAATCTCCAGCACCACAAAGCCAGATATAGGAACCCCCTTCAGTTTTTGATAGGACAGTCAGTCGGATGAAAATCTGCTATGTGTGCATAAACCTTTAACTTCGAGCAAGGCATTTGTGGAAATAGTCATAACGTAGGCATACAGGACTTCTCTTATGTACTGTCAGGCTAAATCAGTCGGTATGGATGCGAACAAAGATATGACATCAAAGGAGGTAGTTACCTCATCAGCGGAAATTACTTGTAATCCCCTTAGGAATTCTACATAGTACTCGACGGATACATCACAATTCTTCGTAAGTGGCTGGATCTGATAGGATAGGCACTTACAAATTTTCTAGTTGGGTACACTGATTAACGATACTGTCGGTCGCAGCGGAACCTCCGCGTTGCAAACTTTGGGCATTCTATAGATCTTAGCGACGGTCGGTTCAATTGGTCTCAGATATTTGGCAAGTTCTCCTGACAGTTGATCTACCTCCATAAGACGCCTCAGCACCTTCGTAGGGGGCGCATTGAATAACTCGCCAAAATGTCTCTTAAGAAATTGAGAGAACTGGAGATCGCTCCTGGGTCTATGAAGCCCCGCTCGTATTACAGGTCCTCTTGCCCTAGGCCCTTAAGGGGGATTAGGTTTATGGCAAGGGTTAAAATGAAAGGTAAGACTTATTCAGCTACGAATTTGTGGACAAAAGTGGTTGAGATTTACAAACACGACAGTTTGACTCTCGTGCCTGACGATGTCCAGCACAGCAAGGCGAGAGCAGCCACGGTGACATGTGCGTGAACTCGAACTTTCGCCTCCGGCGAGAAGAAAGTCTGCGTTTTGATTACAAGGAACCGTAACTTCCGCTGACGAGATAAGTGCCTCCCTCGATGTCATCTCTTTGTTCACATCCATAACGCTCTATTTAGCAAGAGAATACATAGAAAAATCCTACACGCCTACGTTAGTCATATTTTCTCAAATGCATTGTTTGAATTCATAAATAGCAGATTTTTATCCAACGGCAATGATCGGCTGAAGGACCCCAGACACAAACACGACCAGCCGAAGGCGCCTACAACGATCACTTCTCAATTCTCTGAGCTGAGGTCATTGTAGATAGTGCACCAGACCGCCTGCAACAGACGACACAACTTTGCACAATAAAACGCCAAATCGAAATAATCGTGTCGGACTAAAATCCACTTACATAAGTATAGTATACATATTTTTGTATGCCACAGGTGCTTGGTTGATTATCTACAATGAGCTCATCCCAGAGAGTTGAAAAATGTTTGCTGTAGACACTTAACGTTTATTTTTTAAATTGTCCTGCTTCATTTCGGTTTCTATATGTCAATGCAATAAATTCTTCCCACCCGAAAAGCGTATTTACCAATTATCTATACTTATGCTGCCATTCCTCCATGCATACATAGGCCCGAGCCGAAAACCTTTATTACAACCTTTCCCGTAAGACAGGCACCTTTGGCTGGCCGTATGTGTTTGAGGTCCCTCACTCGATCGTTGTCAAGAAGACATTACCACCCAAATCATGATGTTGCCACGGTTTTTGTAAGCGCCTTCGATGATATCTAAGCACCCAACGCGGCATTAATGCTCAAAAAGAATATATTCAGTTAGGGGTACGAATGCATAAGGGCATAAAAAACTGGAGATCTTCAAACACCGTTCCCCAGGCACGATTCTCCTGGCGATGCGAATCTCACCAATATAAAAAAAGACAGTTGCACTGGCACGCGAACGGTTTTTGCCGACTGATTTGTGAGCTCAGTGTTATTGTCCTACAACGAAGACCGCGGTCCACCCGAAAGTTCGACCGTTGTCGCCGACGATGTTCGCTGTGTGCTCTACAACATGGTGAAAGCAGGCAGGGTGACTTGTGCGTATATTGATTTATAGTGGAGGCGGACTTACGCAGCATCTACCGCACACTCTTCTCCACCTGGGCCCGACGTCATAATTAAATCAAGAAGATCGGAGACGGGAGAGGACGCATATGGCTGTCAATGCCGGACCCGCACCTAGGCGTACCACCACACCCCCTGGTCCACAACAAACATTGGCCCCATTATCACCTTTTCTCGTAAGACAGGCACCTTTCGTTGGTCGTATGTGTTTGGGGTCCTTTATCCAACTGACGATACTATCAACAATTTAATGGGGTCCCTATGGTGTCCCCTATATCTGACTTTATTACCGGGGTGCTAATGCAGAAATTCAAAGCTACGGCTCGTTCGCTAGTTAATCCTGAGCTGTTGATGTAACTTGCTGTAAGCTTCCTAGAAGTAAATTCACACTTGAAAGGTTAACTTACTACAAACTCCCATTTCTGGATGTTTTCGTCCAGCGAAAGGCGCACGTAATTCCGATTACCGGAAAGAAACTTACGCTAAAGTCAGTCTACCCTATAAGATCAACCAGTCCATTTGTCACAAACGGAGTGCTGTCATAAAATCATTGTATTGAAGAAGTAGGCTAACAAGTCGGTTTTAATTGCTTGCGTGAATTACCTTTGCGGAATTGATACTCTAAGGATTTTGTACGCAGATGCATGAGGCAGCAGAAATCAGGAGGGAAGGGGCCGGGTGGTTCCAATCAAACGCCTAAACTACGTACTTGGCGAACTCATCCATACATTAGGAATGTGTCTGAAGTCGTTGAAAGACAGTTAAAGAAGCACCAGATTCGAGTGGCGCACAAACCCACGACTACTTTTCGCTCTCAGCTGGTGCATCCTAAGGATAGGGTTCATCAGCTGGACAAGAAAGAGGTCGTCTACAAGATACCGTGTGATGCATTAACTGCCGTTTATTGCGGCCAGACTGAATAATCCGCCTCTACGCACATTAACGAACTCCAGTTGGCAATGACGATGCGAAAACATCTGTCCCAAGTAGCCATGCCTACCCCAGACACCGCGTGCACCATCGCTTGGCACAAACCTCGCATTTTCGCTGCCTGCTCTTCGAAGAAAGACTGAGAGTTCCTAGAGGTTATGCACTTGGATGAATCATGCGTCAACCGGCATATCAAGTTGGATGCTGTGTGCAGAGTCAGCTAAATCGCAGTTGGTAGCCCGGAATGGGAAGCGGACGGCGACCTTAACCCTACTCCCAAACCGTAACTCTAACCTTAACCTCAACCGTTACCGTTAGCTTTTAACCCTAACGGCAACGCTAACCCTAGCCGAAATCGTAAACGTAACCGTAGCCCTTAGACATAACCGTAACTGAGAAGCCTAACCGTACTACTGGAACCTATTCGCACGCTCAAACCCTAACCATAACCTGAAAACCGAAGCCTAAAGGCATAACCCTAACCGGAAAATCGGAATCCATTAACCGGTACCCTAATCCTAACCTCAATCGTAAAACGGAAGCCAAATGTGTCCGATGTGACTACGGAGGCCACAAAATAACCTCAGAAAACAAACCCCCCAGCCACCTGTAATGCGGGTCCGGGCTATCAACTGCGATCTAGCCGCAGAGTCTTCAATCCAAAATGGAAGAGAAAAGAGCCAATCAAATTAGACTGACAGACAGGGCGGTCGCCTACCGACACAAATGCCAGAGGAGTATGGATTTTATGTTCATTAGTGACATTAGCTGTTTTGTTTTGCTCACAGATGTGTTCTCCGCCTGCGTCTACAGACGACCTGGGAAACCAGCGTTGAAAATTTACGCAGTGGAGCTTCTCGCCCCATTGAACCTACCTTATTTCAATATATACATAGGCAGAATGGCATTACCGACAAAGACAAGGCAGACTGGAATGGCCACTTCCGGCTTATTAACAGTCGTCAGTCAGCCATACCTAACCGTGAAATGTGGGACCCCTGAGGTTTGATCCCGTGACTTGTTGGTTAGAAGTTCAACGCCTCTAACCACTGAGTCATGAGCTCGTTGTCCCGTTGGTTGCGATCTGGGATATACATGGTAGACGGTGCTCACCGATCATTTATGTGGATCTAAATCGGCCCGTTGTGGCCCGAGTGTTCCACACTTCGGTATTGGATATAACTGACTGACGACGGCTAATAAACCAGGAGTGGCCACTTCAGTCTCCCTTGTCTCTGTCGGTAATGCTATTCTGTCTATACTACGCGCCGCTGTGCCTCTGCCGGTAGGGCTCGGGAGAGAGCCCCAAGGCACAATGCAACGACTGAGTTTCGTAACACGATCGGTGAACGCCCCTCTACCATCATATGTATATATATATATATATATATATATATATGGATGAGCGAACAAAATGTGTGACGTAAAAGACGGCCAGAAATTCTCGCATCAGTTTCCGTTATCAGATTTCATGAGATAGGTTGAGCCCAACCATTCTGCCTATATCATGCACCGCTGTGCGGCTGATGCTTGGGTTCGGAGAGAGCCCGTAAGGCACAGTGGAACGAATGTGTTCCGTAGAATCAGTCGGTGAGCGTTCCTCTACCGCTGTAAATTCCTGATAACAACCGACAAGACAACAAACCTGTTAAAGTGCTGAACTTCTAACTAACAAATAGCGGGATCAAGCCCCCAGGCGTTTCAACTTTCGCCATTGGATATGGCTGACACTGCTAATTATCCGGAAATGGCCATCCCAGTCTCCCTTATGTTTATAGGTAGTGCTATTTTAAGTTGATATGCACATATATACATTGTCAGTGGAAGCGAAAATGCGCGCCTACGGGTATGAATTCGTTCATTATGGTGTCGAGGAGAATATCCAGTTATAAGCGCGCACGAGTAGATATGCTCCAGAAATAAACGCAGTGTTTTGGCGAGTGGGTTACTACACCACGTCGAGCAACGAGGCCCGTGAGCCTTCACTTCAGTAGGGTGTTCTTTTGCTCTGTGTGAGTTGAATACCCCGAATATAAACGTATAAAATATGAGCATGATACCCAAAAATGCCAGAGGGAAAGCGAAGCTGACAAATGCTTCGAGCCTGAAATTACTATGAGACCTGCGTCAGTGAGCTGGAGCCTTAAAAATACCTGTTAATTACATATTTAAAAGAAAACATCGCTCTGTCCTGCTTCGTTTGCAAACGTTTTGTATTCACCACCTTGATTATTCATCATGCAGGTATGACGCCCCTGGCGCTATTTGCCTACGGCCGTTTCTTCCTCGACGTACAGCAAATAAAGATCCCCTACGTTCAGATTGCTGGCCAGCTGCTCTACGTTGTTATACCAGTCATTGCTGGCATGCTGATTAAACGTTACCTCCCCAAAACTGCGGCTCATATTCGACGATGCCTGCAACCCCTGTCGTTCATTTTCATCGCGGTCTTGGTGGGTTTCGGCACGTACGTGAATCTTCCAATCTACGCCTTGATTGGTCCCTACCCACTGCTCCTCCCCACAGCCGCCGCCCTCCCCTGGATCGGCTTTCTGGCCGCCGGCCTTGTCGCCTGCCTGCTTCGGAGGTCACGCGCCGAAATTCTCACCATCGCAATAGAGACGGGCATACAAAATATCGGCATAGCCATCCTCGTGCTGATCTACTCGATGCCTCAACCGGAGGGGGATATTGGTGCTGTGATGCCCCTGGTCGTGGCTCTGTTCACTCCACTGCCTCTGATGATAGCTGCCATTGTTGTCTGCATTCAGGATGGGCGATGTGTCTGCTGCAAAAAAAGGCTGCAGCACACACAACTGACACAAACGACGGAAGATGAGGATCAAGTTGGTGGCCCTAGAGTCAAGGAGGTCAGTGAACAACACAAGATGACAGCACTGAGAACTTAGAATAAATCATGACATTTATTTTACTTGTCCCTTTTGAGATTCGCTTGGCTGGGGTCTGTGCATTCCAGATGCAGCTGGGTCGGAAATTCAGCTGTGCATTCTGCGACATTGAGGTGACGGTCGTCTGACACATACAGTACATGTGCTGACTCATGAAATGCTAACCCAAATTCTGAAATACGTTTTCGATTCGAAAAGATTATTTAAGTAGGGTTATGGTACTCATCACCATGCAGCATAATCCCATTGAAATTCAGTAACCTCAGAATGCCGGCTTTTAAACAAACATCTTTCCTTCCGCCTGAAAAAAAACTATACTTTGTCAAAATGACTACTTAAACATTATAAATTTTTCTCACCAAATTTCGATGCCCTCATAAATTGGAATATACTTCGAAGGAAACATGCATCAAAATATTTATTCTCTCACTTACTTAGTAGAAATATACGTCTTCTTCAACTTCCATATTTGAAGGAAGGACATAAATCGGTTTTAAAAAGTCCTATCCAATTTCCGGATAATTTTGAATCCGACCTGCCGTTGCAGTCGTATTTAGGATTTCCAACCTACAAGCTGTGTACTCTCCGTGTACGGAAAATCATGCGTTTCTCGGCGGCATTAAAAAGAGGTCACATGCGGTTCATAAAAGTTAGCAATGGGTTTAAGCCATGGTGTAAACTTTACAAGCAAAATTATTGAATGCCGAGACACGATGGTTTATGAAAAGGAATTTCGCGGTCTTAAAAACCTCATAATTAGAAACTTTTTAAAACCAAACCCATGTCCTTCCTTCAGATGTAAAATTTGAAGAAGTAGACATAATTTTTTACAAATTGAGTAAAATAATAGATATTTTGATGCATGTTTCCGATGAAATATATTCAAATTTATGAGGGCATCGAAATTCGGTGAAAAAATTTATGCTATTTAAGTAGTCATTTTGGCAGAGTGTAGTTTTTCTGGAGGTCGGAAAGACGTTCGTTCAAAAGCCGGAATCCCGAAATAACTGAATCACAAGTGAAATTTGCTGGATGTTAATAAATCTTTTAATCCTACATAAGTAACCTCTTCGAGTCAAAAAACGCATTTCAGGATTTCGGTTAACATTTCATGAGTCAGCCCACCAACTGTACACCTTTCAACAAGCTTTCAGATACTATTCTGGCCAAGAAAGCCAGCAGATCCACTCACATATAAGATGAGGAGACGTCCAGCGATCTAAGGAAATTTTCCTGGAGAAAGAATATTCGGTAAGACATGGGAATCGGAGCCTCCCCTGACCTTGCGCTAGACCCCAGGAAGGGCACTTATTAGCCCTTCATAACCCGTGCTCTAGAAATCATCCTAACCCAAAGCACAACCTTAATCCTCACCTAAATCGCCCCAGAACTAGACGCTAGTCCATCTCTATTCCCATGCCCTGTCGAACATACTCCTAATTGCAGATCTACTCTTCTGCCTGAAAATGGGCGCACGAAACATTCAACAACCCTGCGACTGCTTTATTAACCTCTTGGATTTGTGAATTACTGTAGGTCGCCTAAAAAAACTACAAGGCGTTAAAATGGTGGTATATCATCAGACCTTCCACGTGGGTAACTGGTTTTCTACGCTCTTTATGGTCTGCAGTACCAGTTCGCTGCTAACTTTACGACGGGAGAGAGCGTTACCCATGACCCACCCGATTTCATGTTTCGCCGCAGGCGATGCAGTGGGATGGATTAAAACACCGCAGATGGATGGTCATTACTATTTATGCGCAAATTAGTGCTTCATCCGCACGAAAACCGCACCTTGAATATCGCCGTGGGGGGTAGGTGAGTGCGTATTTGCAATAAAAGCGTCAAAATTTTCCCATAATCCAAAAACCTGTCCTCTGCGCTTACGCATACGACACACATCCTGCAGTTCCACCGTCGGTTTCGACGATGTCCACTGTGCGCGCCACAACAGGGTGAATTGGTTAATAGTTGCGATGGACTTTCACAGCATATACCGCACACGCTCATTCTCCACCAGGACCCGGTTTCAAGGTATAGCCAAGGTGACCGCAGGCGGAGAGGTCGCAGGTGGCTGGCACGGCGAAACCCCCATCTAAGCGTGCCACCGCATCCCCAGGTCTGTAGAAACCGACTGATCAGGATTTTAACCTATAAGTACAGCAGAAGGACGGCAGAGGTCCCAATTGGCGCGGCACGAGCCTGCAACTGGGCCAGCCACCACACCCCGAATGTTAGCATTTGTTACAGGTGCGTATTCCCGATGAAGTCTGTCAGAATCCAATGTAGCTTCCCTGTCAGTCCAGCGCATCCCCCAATTCGCCCCTGTTAAGCCTTCAGAATTGTCTTTACCTCTCTCGTTGTACGGTGAGTACCGACATGGATTAACGCACCCTTACATTGGAGATGGAGAGACGATTGCTGGGACAAGAGCGATATTAGCCCGGCGTTCCGGATTCCTGCTCGAACCCACCATTAGAGACAATAGGAGATACCGGTGGTTCATGCACAAGGGTCTGCAGTATTTATAGGATGCAGCTGCCATGATAGCGCATAACTATGAATGCTCACAGCTCCCCCCTTCATCAGAGATCGTTGCATTTGGTGTGCTGACTGTTTAATGGCCGACATTCGTGCCGTTAATTGCTGCAATTTCATCACGTGCGTTGGATATTGGTGTGTTGATTGCTCGACCATCTGACCCACCGACCCTTGTGTTGGGACAAGTGCTCACCTGTGTGCTTCCCGCCTCGGCCTCGTCGAATTGGAATGTTTGGCCGGACCTCGTCGAATGAGCCGGAACTTGAGAACTGGCGTCATTCCTCCGCACCGCTGCAATGCGCTCGGCCATTCGCGTCCGGCCTACATCAGAGTTCCACTGTCGCACGCACCGATGTTCACCGTGTGCTCTACAGTGTGATGGGTGCAGGACTGTGACTTGCGCGCCTACTGATAGTTGACTTACGCAGCGTATACAGCACCACACACTCGTCTCGGCCCCGAGGCAAGACTAAGTCGGACTGACTGGAGTCAAGTTCGGGTGCAGTGGCCAGCGAGGCTACTCAGCCCGTCCACGCATGCCATTTACACATTCTGATCCCACAGCATGTACTATGTGTTCGTCAGAAGACAAGACTCAGATCATATGGGCGCGAGTGTGCCATGGGGCCATTTCAGCCTGACTTACAGTCATCCAGTCAGTCACTTCAATGTACTGATTATTATGTCGAATATGCAGGATACAACGCTTTCTAAAAATCCGGGTCAGTCAGTCAACTGACATAAATAAACCCAGCGAAATCGCCGACCAGGGCAGCTTCGGTCATTACGAAAACCTCCTGGATAACCATGCGGTCAATCAGAACGTGGACATCCGTGCCTTCAGCGGGACCGATTTTTCGGCAGGAAGACAGAATGAAGCAAAACCAATTATTTCTCGAGAGAGCGACGGGATTGCGAAGTCATTTTTACAGTCGGATGGAACTCTCTATGACGCAGAAAGCCCCGAAACTCATCATTTTCCTTGTAGGATACCATCAGATTACCTGGTCGTAGACAGCGAAAATCCTCACGACGTTCCATTAACAGTCCCTATGAGAACAGATAAGAACGTTTGTTCTCTCCGGCGAAAATAAATCGAAGCTTTTTGGACAGCGCTTTGAGCGGTTTGCTCCGCGAAATAGGTCTCTTTCAGTCTGGAGTGCATATTATTAACTACCCGCCTCGAGAGAGGCGGAGACGTTGCAAATGTTAATTGAAAACCGCTTTTACTTCAAGAAATTTCCCACAGAACATCTGATAAATCGGAAAGGTAAAGCATTAATAAAGAGGACTGTTCATGGCAAAATTAAACCTTTTCTGCCGTTTCATTCATGGCTTTTGATGGGTCACAGATGAAGCAAAGTTTACGATTAGCAGGCTCTGACCTTAAAACATTGTCATCGACAAAATCACAAGTACTGGGCAGTTTGACAATGGCCACTTGTACCACAAACGGGAGAATTGTATCGGGGCAGTAGAGTCCTAAACCAAACTTAAGACAACTGTCCTTAGATTCGAAGGGAGTTTCGGTAAGGGAATGATCTTCATCAGTTCGCGAGTTCATGACACTTAAACGAGCCTAGCTGAGATCTTCGACTTTTTTATGTTGCCGAAATTCCCATGGAAAGATTAAGAAAATTAGTCAACCAGCATGAATTGCTTCCAATAAATTCTCATTACGCCACTATACTTTTATGGAAAAAGGAATGATTAAGACATTATTAATAAGATAAATCGATTAATATTCTTCTTAACACATAAACGGATCACAAAAATAAGGGAAGGAGATTAAAACGGTAGTGATTTTGAAGGTAGTGAGAGTTGGGAAGATCCCTGTTAAGGGACGTGGGGAGGGGAAGGGCGCGGAGGACTGCAAGCACTTAACCGACCTACGACAACGGTAACTTGGGGCTTGCACGGGCTTCTTTTGTGCGCACGAGACCGGCTTTTGTACCCTGAAAGTAGCCGCTTTTTCTACTGCCAGTAAACGCTGAGCCAATGGCTTAGGTTACTTCGATAGGACTTTTATTTTTGCTCCTGTTGAGCAGGTTACACTTGTCAAACGATTAGTGCCATTCTCGAGCATATTTTTGCTTCCTGTCATCTTTGGGACTCTAGTGAAGCCGTAGGTGGCACGAAACTACCCAAGCATCATTGCTTAAGACATGCACCGTATTCACAACATCATGATGGGCCCACAGACAGTAAAGTATTTTATAATTGTAGGCTTGCAAAGCACCTGCCACATTCTCTTTACCCCCCCCCCTCTCCCCCAAATTAGTGCCGATCACAGGGCACAGTCAAAAAAACCGCAGACCAGATCCAGTGCAATGACTGCAAAAGCTAAAAAAACTCTCTACGAGTGTCACAAATGCCCGGTGGGCCAGGGCTTTACACAACCGAAAAAAATGGGAGAGGTACGTAGGCCCTCTGAGTGGAAGGGTCAAAGAGGCCACATC